TGTATACTTTTATTTATATGTGAATTTGCAAACGGATTTAAGGAATCTCGGCCTTAGGAAATTGTCTTTTTTGCATAGATATACGCCTGGTCTGATAGAGATGGCCGGGCGTAAGATGTCAACCTATCGCGCTGGGGAAGTCCAGATCGAATGCGAACAGGTCGAAAAACTCTCTGAATTTTTTCGGAGGTGAGCCGTTCAGGTATATCGGGATTCATTCCTCACTAGTCGTGGATTAGATTTGACCGAACTTATAATGGGGTTGATGAAAAGGTCCTTTAAATGCTCATAGGGATGAAAAATTAAAATAAATTCCAAAAATTTTTTAGAATGAATAATAATTTAATAATCTTTCTTGATAGTTCTCTTCGGAGTTCTGTATTCCCTCATAGAATATCAAATAATGTTTGTTTGAAGTAAATTACATTTAATGGGAAGTAAAAAATGCACAATAACTTAGTTAATTATGCAGTTTTTAACCATATATCCTTGTATAATTTCTTTTATACAATAAACATTTTGACTACTTTTTACTTTGCATTTTCATTTATACATCTATATATTTCCGTTATATTTCTATCACAGATTGAAGTGAACGAACATAATATTTTCTTATGGCATTATAGATCTTTGAAATTTAGACTAAACGGAATAAAACATTGACATAATTTCATAAGAATTCGAAAAAACGAGTAAAGATTATCTTTCATAAAATTTGATTTTATTTGCACTTATTTCTGTTGTAAGCTGAAAGTCTTTCTCTACCTAAGATTAATATCGTGTTTTTGAAATAATATAATTTTAATTTGTTTTTGATGTTAAAATTGATTTTTAAAAGAACACTACTTGAAAGAAAAGGTTGCTTTTTTCATGCTTTGTCTATAGTGAGACGTAACCATAAAACGGTATTTAAAAGACGAAGTGTCGTTATTTCATATGTAGGGCATAGTCGCTCAGAAATATTGTGAGTTATTAAAGGTATTTGGGTTTTAGATTCTACTTCTACTTCGAATCCTTCTAAGACAGTAGATAGCCGAAGAGGTCAAGACGGGATCGAATCCGAGAAAAATTCCTATAAATTTTTTACTGATTATCTGACTGAAATGTGTTGTGCTCTATTTGTTTGTGGCAACGCAACACTCTGCGATG